TCAACAGTTGTCTTCGCTCAATACTACTCAAGATCAGATGGCTGGCTAGAAAAGATCAGTAACAGGGATCTCTGGCAGTGAGTAAACCAACCAGGAGCTGATTGTGTGACAAATTTGCAGGAAGAAATGGAGGTGGATTGGGAATATTCTGAGAAAACTAACCACCATCAAGTGAGTGACATCACACGCCAGACTATCTCTCAAGTGGAACCCGGATTGGAAGCGGCAAGTTGGTCGTCAACGCAAGGGTGACATGTAGGAGGAGGCCATGTATGAAGAGGAGATGACAGCAGGTGGGTAGACGTGGGGCCAGGTGATGAAAACGTTGGCGAAGAACCAAATGCAATGGAGACGCGCGGCTGAAGCCCTATGTTCCTCTAGGATGTAAAGGAAATAATAATATAATAATAAATACAGAAGTAACACAAGACTGGCCGCCTATTATTATTGATGATATCCCTAATTTTGATGGACTGAATTATACGGAGGACCTTTGGAAGTGAGAAGACGGGAATACGCTGAACGACCGATAAGAAAACTCTAGAAGATCTGGATTTCGCGTGTGGATAATTTATTTCCAGTTTCACACAAACTCAAAGACCTGCAGGTAGGCGAAAACCAACAAACCGGCAGAGAAAATAGTTCAGCAAAGATAGAAATTCAATGTAAACATAAAGAGAACACGGAGGTGATGAACACAATCGATCAACAACAACAACAACCAGTACAAACGATTATCAACGGAAGAAATTTGAAAGAGGTAACGTCATTTATCTAAGCAGTATTGTTTCAACTATCAGCTGAACGGACGAAGATGCTAAAAAGAGAAGTGGAAAGGCAAGGTGGATCTTCAACACTCCGAAATCAGTTTGGAAATTTGGGGCACTCGGCATAAAAAAAACAAGATGCTGATTTTCGGCCCCAATACTGAGTCAGTTATTCGGTATGGGTCAAAAACTTGATTCACATATGACTAAAATCATTTCTAACGAGCTCCTGTCTTTTATCAACAACTGCCTTCGCTGGCTGCATACTGAAGATTAGGTGGCCGGCCAGAAACAATTAGCAACCAAAAATTCTGGGGGACAAACCAGCCAAGGTCCTTTCGCTCAACAAATATAACGTAGGAAATGGAGAGAGATGAGACACACACCGTCTGAGTGACATAGTGCACCAGGCTATCGAGTGGAACCCGAATGGGTAAGGACGAGTTGGGTGTCCGATTGTGAAATGCAGGAGATCGTATGAGGGGACTTCAGAGGGCAGAATTAACTAAGGATGTGTTTTTGAAGCCTTATTTTCCACTTGGAACCCAAGGGAATAATAATGAGAATAATTCCCTTAAGTTAACACTTAGTGTTATTCGATTCACACCCCCTTATGTGAAAGTTGATAATATTACGTAAATAGTCAAACCTCCTTTGGTGGATTTGACAGCTCTGAAGCCGTTAACCAATTGAGTAATAACACCAACTCAACACCAAAAACCATAGTGTTATGTACTCGTCGCCAAATTATTGTTATGTACTGGTCGAGAATTTAATAGTCCTGACGCAAGAAAGACGGAAATCAGAAGACCACTAGGTTTTTTTCGATGATACTTCTATTTTCCAAACACAAGGAGAAGCAATAAGTGGTATCACACCAAAAGTAGTCGCACAAGATTGTGAGAGCGAAATATATATGAATGTCCAGACAAGTGTGTGATCAAATCAATGGACAGTCTTAACATGAATGGCTAATTATAATGGAGTGTCGATCCATATATACATAGCAAAATATAGCAGACATGTCAACAACCAAACATATAATATGGATATATGTCACCAAGCAACGGACTGTCAACAAACACTCATATTAGATATAATATAAGGGGAATATACATTGCTAAAGGAGACAGGTTCATCAAAATGAAATGGTCACAGACTAAGCGAGCAAACAGAAAGAGAGATCACCATACATATATATATATATATATATATATATGTGGATACATATCACATAGTTCATTGAGTATTCCTCCCAGATGGGTATATTTAGCGTTCTCTTGTCTGCATAGTGTAACCACTAGTTTGTCGTTTTTCTTATAGAAAGCATCCTCACTGTTAAATTCATTTCCAGTCCACGAAACACTGAATGTAGACCTATAACATAATGAATAGCGGTTTCGACAAATATAAAAAATTATTTTATCCATTTCAGTTAAACCAATACAAAACGACAGACTAGAAATTGTTCGCTTCAGTTCACGAATTAGTATTATATCATCAGAACCCCGAGTCAAATTAAACCAGTGAGCAGTTCCCCAGCTTTTTTGTACATTTCTTGGTGCATCCCTCTATCATCAGAGATAACTCCATTAGATTGGTTTAAGTCACTTATCACCCCAGGTTTTAAGAAAGAAGAAAAGTCATAGGGGAATAAGCATAACTAATATGGTACCTACAGTTCTAGGTTCAGTAATCATGCCCAGACTGAGTGATGCTCAGTAGAAACAAATGTGATAAAACCAGGTAGGCTTCAGGCCAGGAGGAGAGTGCCTTGCTCATACCTCCACTCTTTAACAGATTTCGGCAGATAAGGACACTTATCAGCATCCAACAACAGCCATATTTCTTGGCCTTACGGCCGAATTCGACTTCGTCGACCAAGAAGTACTCTACCAAAGCTTGGCTGGGAGAGGTGCAAAGAAACTGCATCGGACTAATCAAGGAGCTCTTTACTCGAACTCAAAAACTGTGTAAGAGCCTATGGAGAGTTTCCACCTGAAGTGATGACAACCAATGATGTCCATCAGGGATGCATACTGTCCTCATTTCTATCCAATTTCATCATAGATGTACTAGCAGACCTAACCCTAACTGACGTCATTGACTCAGGGACTAACTTGTTACCATCATGGAATAATCTCGTTGACTTAGAATATGGTGGTGATACAGTCATCCCACCTGGATGAAGACACTGATAAAATGACTAGCCTTCGGTTTTCAAATGTATGCCATGCAATTAGCTTTTGTCAGATGTAAGATGATGCCACAGGACTGGCCTACATAATCTACTAGCTTACACATAGGTAGTGATGTCCTGAGATGGTTAGGACATATGTTACGTATGCACGCCTAGCCATCGCCTTCCTCGACGACAGGCAATGTTACCTGAAATAAGGTCAGGTTGGAAAAGAGCCAGTGGTAGTCAAACGACATCATAGCACCAGTCAATGAAATCCATATCAGTTAGTTCAAGCTAGCCACGTAGGAAGGTGTAGACTGGCATCCTGATTGGGGTCCTCGGGATGGTAAACACCAATGAAGGCTGGAGACAATTGGTGATATAGCTCAAAATCATCCTCAATGACGCAGATACATCCACTCCTTGTGACTTATGATTTCCAAAAAAACTATATTGTTCTTCGTTATTATTATTCTTTTTGTCTCATATCTCTGTCTGCTGTCTCTATTATGCACTTCTACTTTCTTCTCTTGCTTCGTGTGCTACATGGAGTGTCACGACTTGAACTGCTGCACATCAGTGTAAAGTTCTATGTTGAAAACAGACATACGGACAGTGATGTGGTTAGGCATGTTAATCAATTCGCTTATTTTGGCTGACTTCTTGCGGGATCCCAGTACGGATACAAAACACTCGTTTGGCATTTGCCAACCTACTTCATCTTCGGTGGAGACAAGATACCGGGATATCGGTCAAAGGATTTTGTACTGGGTAGCAGTTCGCTCTGTCCTCCTTTATGATTGTGAGACATGGTCAGTGAAAGTGGAATATATGAAAAGGCTAGTTGTACTTGGCCACGGACATTTACCATCGATCTATGGCTGCTTCATCTGTAATATCCTAATTATCAACTCCGACGTTTGTGTGTTCACTTTTGCGATGCGAGAATCTTGCTATCTTTGACCACAGTGTAATATGGTTGACAATATCGAGGTTAGGCGTACAAGATTGAGTGAGGAGGCCAAATAAATGGATGAGGTTATGAAAGTGAATCGATTGAGGTGGCTAGGACACGTCTTACACATGCTGATCCAACGCCTTCCCCAAACGGGAAATCTTAGGTGACACGGGGTTAGTTTGGAAAAGAATTGGAGACGTTGAAACCAAAACCCAGTATCAATCCATGAAACCTTTGATAATTAGTTCGAGCCACATGGGGAGGTGTAGGCTGCCTGGTTGGGTCGACAAGGCGCTAAGAAACATTGGCTGGAGAGTATTAGAGACACAACTCAAGATTGTTCTTAATGGCGCAGATGCATTTATATTTTTTTTATTACAGCTGATTCTACACCGTAGTTTTGATACAAGTATGGAATTTTCAGCATGTGATATCGGTAGCCCAAATTTCGCAAGCTGAGCATTGGTATCGGGTGTTCGTCGGTAGGGGATCGAACCCTGGACCATGTGCATAGTCGGCGAGAGTCCTAACCGATGTGCCACCGACGCACCGATATCGATTCAACCCTAATTTCGTTCCCATGTTACCCTCCCTTCTCCGTCAGATTTCTGATTATTATAGTGTAACGACGGAAGACAAGGGCCAGACAACAGATCGTTTATTTATGAAATCAACACATATTCATAGATTTTCATGTACATATTATAGATTATTCTTAGCAGAAAAACACAGTCCTCTGACTGGTTGTTTCTCACAGAAAGTTAATCTTGCATCTCTTTGTGGTTGTTTCTTGAATTTCAGATCATCTATTTGTTAACTGTATCCACCTACGCAAAGCCTTTTTTCTCATTTTTCTCACGACCAATATTGGGGACATAAACATTGACGTAAATTACTGTCCACTAATTTTGACTAACAGCTAGCTCTCACCACAATAGTACTGTTGAATCCCTTTATCTTCTCTTTTATCAATTTCTGAATGCTACATGGAATGTGGCAACCTGGGACTACTCAGTGGATTGTGGCCTTGTTATTTGAAAAATCTGTCCCCAGACATCTGATTTCACCAATATTTATTTCTCTTTTACTGTAGAAATCGAATACTTAAAGAACGCGCTAAACGCGTGGCTGAAGAACGTTCAGGGATTACAACAGACGATGATGCTATGAGTGAATTAAAAACTGGACGTTATTGGAATCGTTCAGAGCGTAAAAAACAATTAGAAAAAGCACGTGCAGATAGAAAACGTAAACAAACCACTACAGTAATACATCAACAACAAAATTCACATCAGCACAATATCGATATGATGAAATCTTCACATAAAAACTCTTCTGTATCAAATTCAAATATTAAAAATGATAGCACAACACTCGTTACTATGACAACCGTGTAAGAAAAACAATAAAACAAAAAAACAAAATATAAATTGTACATTTTAAACTATATGAATAAAAAAGGGCCTTTTTGAAGAAATCAAAACTTCATATGACTTGAGAAAAAAACAATGTATTCGATCTAAAAATAAAAATTATTTCAATAAACTTTATGTTTCTGTCTTGGATCCCAAGGATTTTGTGATCTCGTTTATAGATACATGTAAATTCCTACATACGCATGCACAATACATCAAAGAATATAGCTAACTATCTGCCTCTATTACACAACCCAAGGCACTATTTCGGTGTGTACAAGTATATATATATACATATTCACAGATGATTATATATAAGTCAGAGAGATTGAACAAATCGATAAATCTTCCATTGAAAATTGAGCATACCATGTGCGCGCGCGCTTCTGTATATAAATTGAAAAGACTTATATACTGTATGGAAGAAGATATTATACACATATATACATACATATACGTATTATAATGGATGAATTCACTTAAGAAATTCCTTTCTTATATAATTCACTATTATATATACATCATATACGAATAATAATATTTATTGATGACAATACTGTTCAATTGTTCAATGGATAAATGTAAAATTAACCCATTAGTTGTTTTAAACAAAAACAACAACAACAACAAAAAAGTATCAACTTTATCAGTATATAAAAAAGGAATGCATTTAAATGTTTAACTGATTCATTGAAATATTAATATTATTTATAATTATTTAAAAATATTTATATATAAATCAAACTGAAATATACATCATATGACTTTTTGATAGTTACTTCCCTTACTATTATTATTATTATTTTTACTATTTTATATTTTTCCTGATGAAATCTATCATGAAATTCATTCAAAACTCATACAAAATACCCATAGAGTCTAAGCACCAGTCTACAGTTCACTGATGGATGTCTTGAAGCTGTACTGAGAAATAGTAACCAGTGGGGTTCCTCATGATAAAGTGGAGCGGATAATAATCGAAGGTTTTAGTTGTAGGTAGCCTCATTTCATGAAATGACAAAAGTTAGAATCCTATGTTTATTGGATTCCTGCCCAAGTAAGTGAACAGTCAGCGAGCTTGATCTCGTAGTATGAAGTTTCAAGATTTGAGCCCTGGTGGAGTTGTAGACATGCACTGTTGAAGAGTCTGAAACTCAAACGAAACAGTTGTCCAGTGCTTCTTAGTTTTCGATGATCTCATTCACTGATGGTGGTTTTGTGACAAAACCCAACAAGTGAAATTAAATCGAATCCCTACAAAAACGCATAATCTAACCATTTTCAAGCAACGTCTTCTGATTGGTTGTTTTCTTGCTCAAGATTATTCTGTACTCCTAGTGACCGTTTTTCTGAAAGTTAAGCCATATATCTGCGAATTCCATTCGAAAACGTTAAGTCCGCTGCGATTGGTTGGTGAGCTCCTCAAGATTAAGCTTTGTCATCGTTTTTCTCATGACCCTGATTCCAGAAGTGGCACTGACGTGAATTGTTGTTTACTATTTTGGCTTGTTCGAAGCCAATTCTCACTACAGGGTCACCTACCTTAGCTAGTACAGCACCAAACCCACTTGTCTAAATCCTGTCGGGACTGTGTCTCATTTCAGCTGTAGTCATAGTCAGTAATCTACAAGTATAACGGTATGACAGATGGTTTCACCACTAATAATCCACTTTCCGTGGATCTTATCATATGTTTATGTCATTTAATTGGTTTCAGGGTTTCATCGTGAACTGACATCAGTTAGAGGACCATTGGAAAACCCACTAGAGAGTAATGGACAGCTGTTTTCTCCTAGTTGTGGGCTCTTCTTCAGTACGTAACCACTGGGGTTAAAACCCACAACCTTCTGGTTACAAGTTGAACTGACAGATTATTAAGCCACTGGGACCCTATCCAATCGTCGTGACTAGCAGGGTACAGCTGGTCGGGTGAGATGACATTCACGGTGTAACCAGAAGGTTTTGGGTTCGAACCTCAGTGCTGCGTACTGCTGAATAGTCCCAAACTAGGACGTAACAGCTGGCTGTCCAGTACTCCCTGGTGGGTTTTCCAATAGTCCTCTAACTGATATCATTTCATGATGAAATCCTGAAACCAATCAAATCCCTGTAAACCAACGCTTGAATATTTTCATCATATTGATGACATAAAGATGTAATAAGATCAATCGAAAGTGGATTATTAGTGGTGAAACCGTCTGTCATAACGTTATACTCGTAGATTATAAGCGGTGATTACAACTGAAATGAAATACAATCCCGACAGGATTTAGACAAATGGGTTTGATACTCTACTAGCTAGGGTAGGTGACCCTCTGGTGAGAGTTGGCTGCGAACAAGTAAAAATTGTAAACAACAAATTACGTCAGTGTTATGTCCAGAATCAGAGTCATGAAGAAAACGATAACTCACCAACCAATCACAGCAGACTTAACGTGTGTGAATAAAATTCGCAGATATATGGCTAGACTTTCTAAAAAAAACTGTTTCAAAGAGATAACAGAATAATCTTCAGTAAGAAAACAACCCATCAGAAGACATTGCTTCTCTGATAACAATGATGCTAATAATAATGTACATAAAAATCTATGAATATCTCTTGTTTTTTTCAATAAACTATATGTTGCTTGGCTCTTGTCTTCTGTTGCTACAACCTGAATGATCTAATTGAGTTTCAACGCAGGACTTTGCATAGAAATGCACCCGTTCAAGTAGACACACTCCACTTAGCACAAAAAGTTACAAGAGAGGAATTCAGAAGAACTTTAATGGAAAGAATCGTATTGAGAGATAACAAAGAATGGTTGCATCCACTCCGGTGAAAACGGATTGATCCATATCATCAATAGTCTCAAGACAATAGTTCTTAGCATCCTGAGGACCCCATCCAGAATGTCTATACCCCTAATACCAATAATTAGAGGTTGAATGGACTGATGCCATGTTTTGACCAGACCTCTACTAACTCTTTCTCAAACTAATCACCTATTTCAGCTAACACTGCTCAATGTGGAACGCAGAGAGTGACTCATGATCCACAACACTTATCCTAACAAGCTCAGTAGATATAGCTTCGAAACCTCATCAGTTGGCTAGACCCCTGCCTACCTAACACACTACGATTAACCTCAGTATTACTTATCATATTTGACAACTTGATACGGGGGATAGAATGTAAAAAACTGTGATGAAAGACGGCTAGCTAGCCTCTTTAAGTCTTCCTATTCTTCAATGGTCACACCTCTCAGCCATAAGGGAGGACAGCCCAAACTGCTGAACAGTACATACGTCCTTTGATGACTGGTAGAAGAGAGTTTATTCTTCTTTAAATCAATATTAAAATACGAAGGGAAATAAATTGCATTTAATGTTATAGATAAACTTTGGATTTAGATTGGCCTACATTAACTCCTATGATTACTATAGAGTAATCATTAAACCGTCATCAGCTTTTACAGATTGTGATTCACAATCATATAAACTAATATTGTAACGGTAGAAGACGAAAGACTTGGTTGAAAATCTTGCATGTTGAGCTACTTCTGGCTTTCGAATTGTTTCGTTGTGTGTGTGTGTTCCTTTCACATCTTCCATGTATCTTTTCAACTCTCTATTGTTTGCTTTCACTGACATCAAATCTACCACATCGCAATTTGATGTTTTGCATCAATTCATCAATCTCTTCATATACTACTGATAAATCTTAACGGTAATGCATGCCACAATATTATTGTTATTATTGTTTCCTTGGGTTCCTAGTGGAACATAGGGCTTCAACTCAACACATCCCCAATTGCGACTTCTGTCTTCCTTCTGCTGCACTTTTCACCTGCATCCATCTTAGTCCATACTCTTTCAAACCCTCTTCACACGATCTCCTCCATGTCACCCACCCTTGCACTGACGTCCCACTCGCCGCTTCCCTTTCGGCCTGGTTCCACTCGATTGGACCGAAGTGCTCGGTCTCAGGTTGACATATTGACGGGAAAATCCCAAATTCAATATAATTAATATGACCCGTTGCACAAGAGGTGGCTGTCGTGGCCCCAGTGGATAACGCTTTGCCGTTTGAAACTATGGCTACTGGGTTCGAGGCTCGGTGAGAATATCATCACTCACTGAGAAATGCAGGTGCATCCAGATGACGAGTCCCAAATGGGACGAAATGCGTGTTATCCTGGATTCCACTGCTAGTCACCATCCACCAATTAAACAGCTTCCAAATTACGTCCCTGCTGGCGATGCTGAAGGTCTTCTGAGTGTTGGCGAAGCTGAGGTAGAGAGTTGACCCTCGAACTATGCTCTGCTCTATGATGATGCGTAGTGTTGCAATTTAGACTAGTGGTCCATGAATTCTAATTCCTGTCAGTCTGCGACATAGTGACACTGTCTACAAAACGATAATGGCGATCAGAGACGATTAATAACCCACTTGTGTACTATTTGAAACTCAGGGAAACAAGATTGATCATATCAGATGAGATATCTGGTAAGGAAATGCAAAATAATTTAAGCATATTGACGCTATGGAGCATTAGACTAGTTTTCAATTATACTTTTCGACAAATTCCTCTTCTGGCTCTACAGTTATATATGCATGTTTATACACACAGAATATTCTAGATTAGTATTCAATAACAATATTACTGTGTTTTTTAATAATATCGATTTGTAAAGTAAGATCACAATGGAATTACAGTTCATTAAAGATGCTTAAATAATAATAATAAAGACATAGTAGCAAATAGGATATCAACTAAAATTAGTAAAATTCCACAAAAATTCAGGATCATTCGAACCCCGATGGCCAAGGTAATGATAATGTCTTTTTGGATGCACAAATTAGGCTTTTTATTATGGATCCCCACAGCCTCAGCAATATTTAGTTGTCGAACTCTTAAGGTAAAATTGAGATTCGAAGGTATGCCTCTTCCATGTGTATCTACCAAATTAATTGCTTCTGTGATGTGAGCCAGTTAGTTGCATAGGCCGTACAATTAGGTGTGTTTCTCGTCGAATTTCCGAACATCACCCTGTATAGTGGTTATGCGAAGGACAAACGAAATCTATTCGTAGCGCTATTCTATCTCACTCTCATCTTGTGGATACAGAACACAAGATTGACGTTAATCATTCTCTCTGGGTCATTTACCGCCTACCTACGAATCTCAATTTCGCCTTAAGAGTTCGACAACTAAATATTGCTGAGGCTGTGGGGATCCATATTAAAAAGCCTAATTTGTGCATCCAAAAAGACATTATCATTACCTTGGCCATCGGGGTTCGAATGATCCTGAATTTTTGTGGAATTTTACTAATTTTAGTTGATATCCTATTTGCTACTATGTCTTTATTATTATCATTATTTAAGCATCCTCAACGAACTGTGGTAATTCCATTGTGATTTTACCTTACAAATCGATATTATTTAAAAAACACTGATATTATTATTGACTACTAATCTAGAATATTCTGTGTGTATAAACATGCATATATAACTGTAGAGCCAGAAGAGGAATTTATCAAAAATTATATGCTTTGCTCAATTATTTTGTGTTTTATAGATGTCTGAATGAATATTTTTTGTTATAATTTTCAAGTGCTGGTATTAGATGGTTGCAGGCAATCCACAGGAAGCCTTAAACCTAGGTTTCGTGCTAGTCTGCACTTGTCAGCGAGGCGTATCTG